TTCCATGACAAATACTGTATATTCACTCTTCCCTTCTATATATAATCTATATTTTTTTAGCGCGTTATTTAAATTCACTTGATGAGTGTGGCAAGCCTCGTCTTGTCATACGAAACAAATTTGTAGTGAAATAAAGTTCACATGAAGTTTATTTCAAGTTTGTCTTCTAATCCTATTAGACAGATTTAGATCGAGGACGCGGTCGTCAAAGACGACGTGAAAATGGCGTGTTGTGTCCATGTATGGATATGCCACGCAATTTTCACGTCGTCTTTGACGTCCTCGATCTAAATCTGTCTAATAGCTCTACTACGGTATTGAGCACTCTACTCATATATGATTCCAAACTCGATACTTGTCTATATATATATATATATATATATATATATATATATAGTTTTAGCCTTTCACTGAAAATCCACCTCAGCAAACAGTTCTTTTATCTCTATTTTAGATTCCATCGCCAAATGACTGGATTACTTCCGTGTATTTTATTCTGTCTACTTGCTCTTAGCAACGGAATGAAAAATGTCACAAACGCATATGTCAGACGTACGTTTATACAGTATAGTAGCTCTAGTCATACATGATGGGTCTATTAATTTAATTATTATTTATTTAAAAGATTCGAATACGAAAGTAACGAATCGAATAGTTTCGTATTTAATGAATGCTCTTGTCTACAGAATATATGCATTTTAATTTGTTTTGTAGGGTTAACCGATCCAAAATTGAATGCAAATAAGAGAACATTGCCCGCAGGTATTGCAAATTAGTCAATAAGGTGTAAAAAGGTTGGGAATCTCTAATGATACACTAAAATCATACAATCCTAAGATTGATTCCTGAGCTTGAATCATATAATCCTAAGATTGGATCATTGAATCCTAGATTGAATCATTGAATCCTAAGATCATCAAATTGAATCTTAAGATGGAGTCGTGAGATTGAATCATAGAAACCTAAGATTGAATCATTGAATCGTAAGATTGAATCACTGAATCCTAAAGTTTAATCATTGAAATCCTAAGATTTGATAATTGAATCCTTAGATTGAATCATTAAATTCTAAGATTTGATAATTGAATCCTAAGATTGATTCATTGAATCCTAAGATTGAATAATTGATTCCTAACCAATAATCATTGCATTCTAAGATTTAATGACCAAATCCTGAGATTGAATCATAGAATCCTAAGATTGAATCGTAGAATCTTAAGATTGAATAATTTAATCCTAAGATTGAGTAATTGAATCCTAATATTGAATCATTGAATCCTAAGATTCAATCATTGAATCTTAAGATGGAATCATTGAATCGTAAGATGGAATCATTGAATCCTAAGATTGAATCATTGAATCTTAAGATTGAATCATTGAATCCTAAGATTGAATCGTTGAATCCTAATATCGAATCGTAGAAACCGTAAGATTGAATAACTGAATCCTAATATTGAATCATAGAAACCTTAAATCATTGAATCCTGAGATTGAATCATTGAATCCTAAGATTAAATCATTAAATTCTAAGATTTGATAATTGAATCCTAATATTGATTCATTGAATCCTAAGATTGAATCATTGATTCCTAACATCGAATCATTGAATTCTAAGATTTAATGACCAAATCCTGAGATTGAATCATAGAATCCTAAGATAGAATCGTAGAATCGTAAGATTGAATAATTGAATCCTAAGATTGAGTAATTGAATCCTAATATTGAATAATTGAATCCTAAGATTCAATCATTGAATCGTAAGATTGAATCATTGAATCCTAAGATTGAATCATTGAATCTTAAGATTGAATCATTGAATCCTAGGATTGAATCATTGATTCCTAAAATTGAATCATTGAATTCTAAGATTTAATGACCAAATCCTGAGATTGAATCATTGAATCCTAAGATTGAGTAATTGAATCCTAAGATTGAATCATTGAATCTTAAGATTGAATAATTGAATCCTAATATTGAATCATAGAAACCTTAAGATTGAATAATTGAATCCTGAGATTGAATCACTGAATCCTAAGATTAAATCATTAAATTCCAACATTGAATCTTTGACCGATAGTATTTTGTTTTCCTCTAGCAAGCTGCCCGGCTATACAGATTGAAAATGCAGCACCAATCAGAGTGGAGAACTTCCCACCAAAAACTGGTACTTGGACCTATCCTATCTACTGTAAGCCTGGCTACAGTCTGATGGGACCATGTCGCATGGTGTGTAGAGAAAACGCTGGAGGTACCATGGCTTTTGCACCACCATATGGGCTGGAAACACCAACATGTGTCAAAGGTATAATGGCACCTTACCTAATGAACAGAATTTTGATCTAGACAAAAATTTCATTACAGCTTGAAAGAACATCACAAAATTAGTAATATTTTGAAGTTTCGTTGCGAAATGTTGTAAAATACGGGTAATATAGCCCTGCGAAGTTGTATTACGCACGGGAAATTGGTACCGCTTTCTGAAAAAAGGTTCGATTTCCCGTGCGTAATACAAAATGACTGAAAAACGGCAAAATTCGCAGGGCTATATTATCCGAATTTTACAACATTCCGCAACGAAACTTCGGAATATTACTAATTTTGTGATGCTCTTTCAAGCTGTGATGAAATTTTTGTCTAGACTTGCCTAGATCAAAATTTTGTTCATTAGGTAATAGGTCCATTAAGTTATCTATCATGCGTAAATTATACAATGGGCTAATTACGCGTTCATTTCTCCAATTCATTTTAGACTATGCATCCAGTCAGTTCAAGTGCAACTACTTGAGCTCAGTGTGTCCACTGGTATGGGACAATGTTCCGGAACCAACCCAGCCTCCTATAGCTATATCACGAATATTCTGTGGTCAGATTACAACTGCTTCAGCGAACCAAGTACAAGTGTTTGGCTTTGGTGCTTCCATGTATGCTACGGAAGCCGCGGGAAATTTGTGCCTTTATAAAGGAGGCATCAAGGATAACCCCTGTTATATCGTGAAAGGCCAAAGAATGGTTCCTATTGCAAAAGGTAAGTATATTAAGTATATGTCCCCCCCCCCCATTTCCTCCAGCTACTTCGAGTTTTCCAGGGACTGAAACTGACGTCCAGTACCTCCATCTTTGGCTTCACATTTTGGACTCGAGTTCTCGTTCCAGAAATATATGGAGCTCACTGGGGTGGACCAAAAAGTATCCCCTCCACCTTAAATAGCTATGCTCTGTGATGTGTCGTCTAGTGCCAATAGTGGTAGCCTGAGGCGCCCTCGGTCATGTTTGAGCTGCGTCCTTCCCAATTTAGCTTTCAGCTGCAAGGAAAGATTATTAGCACTCTTTACCTTTAGCTGGTTCAAATTTTAACAAGGCAGTTTCGCTACGTGCGCGGTAATATCCAGTCAACTCTCATCCAACTCTTGTTCTCGTCTTGTTGTCCACGAGACTCGAGAGTTAAGAAAACTCTCATACAAACTTTCGCTTCTCATCTCTTATTCTCGTTTGACCAATTTTAATTTATATTGACGCAGGCAATGATCTGCCGGCCATCACATACCTGGGCAATTTGGACGGCTACGAAGCACTGAGTGGCAAAGAGGATCCTTATATTGGAAAACTAAGCCGCCAAGTCCCTTATTACCTCTTCCCACCCGACGTGTCCCCTTCGAACCTCGTCAGTTCCTTGCGAGAATATTTGTCCACGTGCGTAAAACGCCAAGGTCAGGTGCTACTGAAATGCACCCAAATTACGTTTCTTGCGTCATCGACAAATGGGTATGATATTTTAATCGGAGGTCAGCCTGTGGTTAATGGTATCTCAGATGCATTCCCTCTCCCGCCTGGTAAAACTTGTCATGGACAGAGTTGCTGTTGTGACCTAAATCCCGCCGCGAGTGGATAAGATCGACCGAGACCCGATCACACTTCGCTAGTTTTGAGAAGGAAACACGAGAATTACTTGGGCCGATTCTTCGTAGACAACATTATCCAGTGAACATAATTTTGATGTAGTTTACTATGATAATATTGATGTGGATGTTATTGTAAATACACCCATACTGAATATTACCCATACATACTCAAAGTTTCTGTGATCACAGTAGGAATTTTGCATCGGTAAATTCTAAGTTTTGAAGGATTTGTAAGCAATGTTTGAACTGACTCAGTGTTTAACATCAAGTCAGTTTGCTCAAATATTTCTTCTTACAAATCCTTCCGCAAAACTTAGAATTTACCGATGCAAAATTCCTACTGTGGTCACAGAAACTTTGATAGTGTAAATCACGCTAAAGCCTTACTGAATGAATAATCAACTGATTGACATGCGACCTTAGTTCTATAATAACTTCACTTAATTTGCCCAAATGAAAAGTGTAACCATCGAAGAGCACTGATTCAGTGTTCTCTTATCATTTCTGATAAATGGAAATGATCTTTATAAATGTAAGAATAAACACCGCGGAAAAACGTCTGCGCATGCACCAAATTATGAAAATATGGCGGGGAATTTGAATATCAATTTCTAAAACGAAAACATGCTTATTAATTGGTCAAAAATTAGTAAAACAAACGAGAAAATATAGCAAATGGGTAGACTAGACATTAATTGAAAGCGTCCTGGCATTTAAAGTATGGAATGAAATATAATTCATGTAAAAAATTGTTGATTTTAACGGACACGACTTCGAAAAATTTTGCAAAGTTATTCAAAACAAAAATTCAAACTAAAAAGTTAAGAAAACTCTCGAAAAGTTAAGCTTCTTAACCCACTCAAATTGTAGAATAAATCCTAAAGTTTAATTATTGTGAACACGAAATTTTTTTATATTTGGCGACACAATTTTTTTTTAAAGAAATGTATCTCAAACGAAAATTCGGAAATTGTCGTTGCTTAGTTGATAAACAAAATGTTTCAGACGATAAATTTGTTAACAATCACCTTTAGTTCATGTTCTTGTACAATACAATTTCTTGAACCTTCTGGCTGTATTTATTCCTAGTTTTTAGAATGACATGTTTATTTTTGCACTCGAAATCTGGCTGTAAAGACGCACAATGAGGTCACTCCTTTTTACCGCCATTTTGAGCCTTCGGAAACGTTCGGAACAGCTTTTCATCAAGTTCGCAATACTATTACAGGTAAGGTTGACGCATGCGCAGACGTTTTTCCGCGGTGTTGTAAGAATATATTAGAAAAATATTCGTACAAAACTACAGACATGCGTATTAAGTTAGTAAGTACTATTCTAGTGGAACAAGTGTGTAAAGTACGCTTTCTTCAGGCCATGACATTTCATAGCAACAAGCTTGGAAATGCTACAGTATGACGTGTCAACCAGATGGTAGCCAGGCGGTCTCACTACACACGTAAAAATTTCACAACTTGTCAACAAGATGTGTTCGCAACAGGCTCGTATAGCCAGCTTGTCAACTCGCAACTTGTTGACAAGTTGTTGAATTGCAGAACGATAACAAGTTGTTGGAACAACTTGTAACAAGTGTGTTGAGCTCAACAACCTTATAGCAAGTTGTCAACAAGCAGTGCGAACACATCCTGTTGGTAAGTTGTTGAAACAGCGTTGCTACAAGTCTGTTTGGTTTGTTACAACTTTTAAAAGTTTGTACACTTCACAAAATGTAGACATACTGTAGCACAAGTTTGTCTGCTGAAGTTCATGTATAGTGTCACCTGGCTAAGCCAGACAAATCAACTTCTGTTTGATATGTGGATGGGGTATAGCGCAAGACACTCGGATTATACTCCGCTATCAGTAGACATAGTGCTTGTCTGAAGTTCATCAATAGTACCATCGGCCTCTTCATCATCTGCATTCATATCAAAGAGCTTAACCCGTGTCCGAGATGTGGACAGCACGCATGCGACTTTCCTTGACCCACTTACAGCCACCTTAACAGCTTTCATTCGTTCCAGATTCCTACGTTGAATAACCGCATCGGAACCATCCACCAGACTGACGAGCATTGTGTTGAAGTTTGCATCTTGTGAGGTTGTCAAACGCTTAAGCTGCGAGTCTTCAAGAGTTGAGAACTTGAATTGAGTCAGTAAGTCCGAGCTATTGTCCTCATCTGTCCCTTCCCGACGTAAGAGTAGGGTAAGGGTGGTCTCATCATAAAAGCCAAAATCAACCACACTTATCCTAGGTTGTCCATCGTCATTCATAACCAACCCTTGGAAGCCTACGGTCACCCCTTCTGTGACCGGAACTCCAGGGGCGGTCTCTCCTGCAGTTAACCGAACCAGGTGCAACTTCTCTGAGACAGATTCCCCATTTGCTATTGCAATCCAGTGATGTGACCCACCCTCGCTTGAAATTTGTGAAACCTCTTGCTTGCCTGCAGTACAAATGGTCAGTGGTATTCTGAGGTTGCACGACAATGCTTGTTCGGTAGCGTGGATTAATTTCTCGAACGTTGTCTTAATACTTGATGTTAGCTCATCGTGAAGGGTTGCCAGAGATTTCTCTGCGGCTACTGTGAAAATACACGGGGTATTGCATAATTCGGGACATGTTTCTAAAAATTTTACCCAAATGTTTTCTGACTTGTCGACCTTAAATACCAAAGGTTCTTTCTTTAAGTATTGTCCAACCCTTTCCATACTAAACCTTGTTTTCCCTTTTTCCTGCTGTCCAAGTTGACAATGCAGGAACTCTGCAACAAGCGACACATCCTCTTGGTTGAACTGCTTAACAAATATGGGCACTTCTTCATCTAAGAGCTGCAGGATAACAAGATATAACCATTTGAAAAAAGCTATAAAACTTTGCAAGGCACTCTCGATAACGCCCAACAATTCTTGCGTCTTTAGCATAAGCGATCCCAAAATTTTTAAACATTCAGCGACCATTCTATCGGATAAACCCAAGATGCCAAAACGTTCGTACCATTTTGCCATGCCCATGAGGTCATTTAGGTGATAGAGCAAAGCGTTGCTTCCAGATTGCAGGTTTTTGAGAGCCAGAGTCTGGATGTTTGAGTAAGAGCTTTCAACTGTCTTACCAAGCTTTTTTAAACCTACAGTAAATGAATAAGAGCAGAGATTTGATCAAATCAGGGAATTACACAGAGTACAATAATACGAGGAGATGAATTTGGGTATGGCTGATATTGAAAAAAATTGATATCGAAAAAATTATCAATAATGTCGATGATATGAAACAAAGGGTCATCACTTTTCTTAAAGTAAATCCAAACAGGACTATGTTGATTCAACATATTGTCTAGACTTTCCTTTGCTATAGAACAGTGAGTTTGAGTTAGCTGTGATATTTTGATACTTTGTTTTTAAATCTGAGCTGATATGTGCCATTAGGATTATTATTCAGAGTAGTGCAGAAAAATAGAATATCGAAATTTTTGAAATATCAATATTTACCAGAAATATTAATATATCGCATCAGTGTATTTTGGCATATTTCTTATTACATAGAGTAGATTAATGCTCAAGACAGTGTCCTTAACAAGTGGGGTAAAAGATGAACACAGAACGAACCTTTCTCAGTAAGATCATTAACAAGGAACATTTGCAACTCGGCACTGGCGGTACCACATGTAAACAGCGTAAGAAATTCCTCAGATACGCTTGTGTCCGGGCCTAAACTGTCGGCATACTTCTCCAGTTGCGAATCTATCTCTAGTAAGATGTCCTCCCAGGCCTCAGACATAGCTGCAAAAGTGCTGTCCAAATATGTCAAAAGGCTTGAAATATGGCCGTACTTCAATGATAGTACTTCGAGCTCTTCCGATCGTGAGCTATAAAGTTTTGTATCAAAGGTAACTACAGAAATGACACCATCATTAAATTCTGACGAACTGCTCGTTTGTGTAACGATTGTTAGGAATTGGACCTGTGCGTCTAATGATGCGCTTAGGATTCTGCAGCTCTGAGAAGACTCAACAAGACTACCCACATTTACTCGGCCAATTGGCAGCAGGCCGTGAACTAGTAACGTAACGAGGGCGTTCTCGTCACCAATGACAAGAAAACTCAAAGTGCCGGTGAGCTCTTTAAGTCTCTTCGGATCCCACGGTCCATCATGAGCTTTACCTTCGGACAACGCAGTTGACCCTCCACCAGACAGGTGGGGTAAGCGGGGTAGAATAGTGTCACCTTGTTCGGTAAATATACCAGAGTTCCCCCCGGGGGTTGAGGTGCGAGGGGGATTGGTTGTCACCCAATCTAGAAACTGGGGTTTGCTCCCAACTTCGTACTCGTGAAGACATTCGCTGTTTTCCACATTGACTAAATGTACTCTACCATTATCCAAGCCCAAGGCTAGTACTTTGCCGTCAGGGCGCCACGCGAGCGAAATAGCTTTGTAGTCAGATGAACGCAAAGTCCAAACCCTTTGCCAAGAGAGCCTGTTTAGCCACACAGAACCTTCTCCCGTTATTATTGCAATAAGATCCATCTTTGGACTCCATTTCATTGCAAAAATATCGGCGGGACAGCCCACATCTTCGAGCTGACGGAACGATTTTTCCTCCACGCCGGCAGCCATGTTGATTTTTTGAAAAAGAAAGACATTTTTAGTAAACTTCGTGTAAGCACAAGTATAATGTTAACATAGCCTGCGAGCAGACACCAAAAATTGGTAATTAGACTCTGAGAGCTTTCACTAGAAATTTAGTTGTGGTTAATACTTAACACGATGTAGCAGGTCGGTGGATAACATCAGAACTGTTGACTTATGTGAGAGCATGAACAATGAACTACGTTCCTCAAGTTTCTATTCTAGAATTTTTTCACTCACAAACGATGGAACATCGGACAAAATTTAAGACTTATTTCATAATTTGGCTTGCTCATTCGAGTTATTGAGCACGTGCCGTGAGAAGTTGGGAAAGCACGAAAAAGCGTAATCATGAAAAAATTCTTTTGTAATATATAATTTTATCAAAATACAAGTTTTTCCGAATTGACGAAATGTTAATTTCTCCTAACGCAAGCAAATTCTGATTCATCACACTGATTGGTCGCTTGAAAATCGCCTGAATAGATATTTATAGACAGCGTTGCCAAGAGATCTCGGGATTTTTTGAAGCAGTTGGGATTTTTTTTTAATTTTTATTTTTAAAAGTCAATCTCGGGATTTTTGGCGATTTTTTGAGAAAAGGAAGTTTGAAATTTAGGAATCGATTTTTTGGTAAACTTAAAAGGTTAACCTTTACGACTTTTTGGCAATTTTTGGCCTATTTTAAAGAAATAAATAAACGGTGTTAAAGCAAGTGTAGGCAAGATGGTCTAGTGTGCTGAAAGCTTTTTAATGTCAGGCATCGTTGTTTTAATTAAAATTAATTTTACCCGAGACGAGAAAGAATGAAGTAGAATAAAAAAGGAGTTAAAGCATGTGTAGGCGAGATGGTCTAGTGGTAAAGACAAAGTGTTGCAAGTGCGTAAAGCCAGGATCGATTCCTGGTTGTGTCGAAAGCTTTTTAATCAGGCCAGGCATGGTTGTTAATTAATTCCACCCGAGACGAGAAAGAGTTAAGTAGAATAAAAAAGGAGTTAAAGCAAGTGTAGGCGAGGTGGTCTAGTGATAAGGACGAAGTGTTGCAAGTGCGTAAAGCCAGGATCGATTCCTGGTTGTGTCGAAAGCTTTTTAATGCCAGGCATCGTTGTTAATTAATTCCACCCGAGCCGAGAAAGATTTTCTGAAAGCGAGGGCTGAAGGCCCGAGGAAATTTTTAAATTTGGAGTCTCTGAAATGCCATTTCCTGGACTTTGGAGAAGATTTGACAGAATTCTGATGGCCAGAAAACAGCATTTTAGTATGTCGAAATTTACAATTAAGTAGTACTAAATGGGCGAAGGCGTATTTAATTAAATATATATTGAATAAGTTGCCGGAAAGTATGGGTAATACCTTCATTCTTTGCAGTTTGTCACAGATTAAATGATAAAGGTCTGCATGATTTTGAAAAAAGAATGATTATTAGAAAATTATTGGGGGCGGGGAGGGGGGGGGGGCTGCAGCCCCCCAGCCCCCCTGTTACTACGGCCCTGCAATTATATTTCGGAATCTACGGTCAATAGGCTTTAGACCGTCCGTGGACATAAAAACAGGTTTTTCCAGCTGATGCGTAATCGAAAAAGACGCGAAAGTTAATATTATGCTGTTTCGAACCTTGTGCTCTATTGAACTTCAAGGCACCTGTAGCAGAAACATGAATTTACCACGGTCTGAAAATTGTATTTTTGGAATCTACGGTCCATAGGCTTTCTGACGATGCTTTATTCGTGCATCACGAGACGTCCTTGGACATAAAAAAGCAGGTTTTTCCAGCTGCATGTGTAATCGAAAAAGACGTGAAAGTTAATATTATGCTGTTTTGAACCTTGTGTTCTATTGAATTTCAAGGCCCCTGTAGCAGAAACTTGAATCTACCACGGTCTGAAAATTGTATTTTTGGAATCTATGGTCCATAAGCTTTCTATCGATGCCTTACTGTGTATCACTAGACAGTCCATGAAGATAAAAAGCAGGTTATTCCAGGTGCATAATCGAAAAGGACGTGAAAGTTAATATTATGCTGTTTCGAACCTGATGTTCTATCGACTTTCAAGGCCCTTGTAGCAGAGACTTGAATTTGGGCTAGCCTGAAAATTGTATTTCTGGAATCTACGATCAATAAGCTTTCTGTCGATGCCTCATTCGTGCATCACGAGGCTGGACGTGGAGATAAAAAGCAGTTTTTTCCAGCTGTGTAATCGAAAGACGTGAAAGTTAATAATATATAAGTGAGGGTTATGGTTTGGATGTTTCGAATCTGATGTTCTATTGAATTTCAAGGTCCCTGTAGCGGAAACGTGAATTTACGCCAGTCTGAAAATTGTATTTTTAGAATCTACGGTCCATAGGCTTTCTGTCGATGCCTTACTCGTGCATCAAAAGACACTCCATGAAGATACAAAGCAGGTTATTCCAAGTGCATACTCGAAAAAGACGTGAAAGTTAATATTATGCGGTTTCGAACCTTGCGTTCTATAGAATTTCAAGGCCTCTGCAGCAGAAACAGGAATTTGTCACGGTCTGAAAATTGTATTTTTGGAATCTACGGTCCATAAGCTTTCTATCGATGCCTTACTGTGTATCACTAGACAGTCCATGAAGATAAAAAGCAGGTTATTCCAGGTGCATAATCGAAAAGGACGTGAAAGTTAATATTATGCCGTTTCGAACCTGATGTTCTATCGAATTTCAAGGCCCTTGTAGCAGAAACTTGAATTTGTCACGGTCTAAAAATTGTATTTTTGGAATCTACGGTCCATAAGCTTTCTATCGATGCCTTATTCGTGTATCACTAGACAGTCTATGAAGATAAAAAGCAAGTTATTCCAGGTGCATAATCGAAAAGGACGTGAAAGTCAATATTATGCTGTTTCGAACCTGATGTTCTATCGAATTTCAAGGCCCTTGTAGCAGAGATTCGAATTTGGGCTAGCGTGAAAATTGTATTTCTGGAATCTACGGTCCATAAGCTTTCTATCGATGCCTTATTCGTGTATCACTACACAATCCATGAAGATAAAAGGCAGGTTATTCCAGGTGCATAATCGAAAAAGACGCGTGAAAGTTAATATATAAGTTAGGGTTAGGGTTAGGGCTGTTTCGGACCTGATGTTCTATTGAATTTCAAAGCCCCTGTAACCGAAACGTGAATTTACGCTGGTCTGAAAATTGTATTTTTAGAATGTACGGTCCAATGCCTTCTGTCGATGCCTGATTCGTGCATCATTAGACGTCATCACAAGACGATAAAAACTTAAGCAGGTTTTTGTCTAATCGAACAAAACGTGAAAGTTAATACAATTATATTCGAACGTTTCTCTGCCCAAAATGCTTCCGACACAACCAGGAATCGAACCTAGCTTCTCACACGTGCAACACTTCGTCCTTACCACTAGACCATCTCGCCTACACTTGCCGTAACCCCCTTTTTTATTCTATTTAACTCTTTCTCGTCTCGGGTGGAATTAACAACGATGCCTGATATTAAAATGCTTTCGACAAAACCAGAAATCGATCCTGGCTTCACACACTTGCAACACTTCGTCCTTACCACTAGACCATCGCGCCTACACCGGCTTTAACTCCTTTTTTATTCTATTTAACTCTTTCTCGTCTCGGACGGAATTAATAAACAACGATGCCTGACATTAAAATGCTTTCGACAGACCCAGGAATCGATCCTGGCTTTACGCACTTGCAACACTTCGTCCTTATACCACTAGACCATCTCGCCCAAGCTTGCTTTAACTCCTTTTTTATAGCTCTTGGGTGGAATTAATTAACAACGATGCCTGACATTAAAAGGCTTTTTGACTACAGCAGGAATCGATCCTGGCTTAGAACAATTGCAACACTTCGTCTTTACCACTAGACCATCTCGCCTACACTTGCTTTAACTTCTTTTTTATTCTACTTAACTCTTCCTCGTCTCGGGTGGAATTAATTAACAACGATGCCTGACATTAAAAGGCTTTTTGACTACAGCAGGAATCGATCATGGCTTAGCACACTTGCAACACTACGTCCTTACCACTAGACCATCGCGCCTACGCTTGCTTTAACTCCTTTTTTATTCTACTTAACTCTTTCTCGTCTCGGATGGAATTAATAAACAACGATGCCTGACATTAAAATGCTTTTGACAGAACCAGGAATCGATCCTGGCTTCACATACTTGCAACACTTCGTCCTTACCACTAGACCATCGCGCCTACACTAGCTCAACTCCTTTTTTATTCTATTTAACTCTTTCTCGTCTCGGATGGATTTAATAAACAACGATGCGGAGCCTGACATTAAAATGCTTTCGACAGAGCCAGGAATCGATCCTCGGGCGAATCTCCTGGGGGGGGGGAGGGCGAAAGTCCTGTGACAAAGACATGGGCAAATAGCAGTACCTCTTTAAAAATTATATCTTGCCCCCAAAATATGAGTTTGCCCCTCAAATGCGCCCCCAAGTTCTGAAACCTGGCGCGGTGGCGCCGCCACTGGTAAGGGGTTCAGGGTTGCCAAGTCCGGGATTTTATCCCAAGATCTCTGGATTTTTTGAAGCAGTTGGGATTTTTTTTTATTTTTATTTTTAAAAGTCAATCTCGGGAGTTCAGGGGAATTTTATTGACCAATAAACAATTTTGCTAAAAATCCAGGGTTTGGCCACTAGTATTTTATATACCCTATTGAGTTGCATATCTGATGTCAGATTTCGTTTCTACAACATGACGTATGAAGCTATCCTACCCGAAATTGGCACAAAACCCAGGGAATATCGAGAATTTTTAGGGAATCTCGGGATATTTTGGGTGGCAACGCTGTTTATAGAATATATATTGCTACTAGCACTTCAATGAAATGCGAGTGGAGCTTCGAAAAGCTTTTAAAAATAATCAATATTTTATTCACACTTTGAATTTTTTTGATCATTTAAGACTTTGCAGTTTATTGGTGAAAAGGGGAGCATACAATTAAGGTATTTATTTTCAATTTATTTCAATATTTGCCACATACTTATAGAGTAAATTAATTCTATGTGTTGTGATCTTTTCTCTGTTCGTATTTTTCATGTTTGAATTTTTCATTTGTTTTGCACTGGTGTTAGCTATCCTGTGAATTGAAAAGACCTTAATGTAGCCCTCGATGTAGCCAAGACCAAATTCACGAGTTTTGACCGTTTGCAAGTGTGTTTTTATCCGAAATTTTTTACCGAATTATCGTGTTGAAACACGGCAAGAAAACTCTTCGACTTTGCCGTTTACAGTTCATTCACGAGTACTCAGTAAGCTTTAATTAAACAGTTTAGTTTTTACATATTGTCAGGTTAAAATAAAGTCAGTTATCTGTCAAAAGTGAATAAGTAAGCCTTTTTGTATTCAACAAGTTATATTTTATTGATTAAAACAATGAAAAAATGTTTGAAAATTCCCAAGAAAATTGTTTGCCGAAAAAGAGGGGTCATGTAGCAGCTCCAAGAAGGTTGGCTGTGATTGGCTGAATGGTATTTGTTCTATTTTTGTAAGGTTTATTGTTTTTTTTTTGGGGGGGGGGATTAAAGCAGTGAAGAATGTGCTTTCTTACTCTTCTCAAGGGGTACAAATCAATGAGAGTAGTAGTATGGCAAGGGTGGCAAGGGTGGCAAGGGTGGCAAGGGTGGCAAGAGTGGCAAGGGTGGCAAAGGTGGCAAGGGTGGCAAGAGTGGCAAGGGTGGCAAAGGTGGCAAGGGTGGCAAGG